GGGAGGCGCAGGTGATGGAGCTGATGCGGCTGGTGGAGGGCCTGGTGAGGGACCACGGCGGCGCCCCCTATACCAATGATGTGTACAGCCTGGCGCAGGCCCTGGGGGGCGCTGGCCCCGAGGAGAGGCTCCACAAGGTGGCGGAGACAGTGGCCACCCGCGCGCAGAAGCAGCAGAAACTCTGGCTGTTGGCCTGGCTGTGGGCGTGGCCACAGATGCTGGGGACCCAGTGTAACAGGAGCGTGGCCGGTCTGTGGGATGCCACGGTCCAGTTATTCAAGCGCTTCTGCAAACACTGGCTGCAGGCCTCGACGGTGTGAACTTGAATCTTGTAGGTAAGTTGGCAAGACAGAAACTGCTTAGAGCTCAAGGGGAACTTCAGAGGAATCTGAGTTCTCAAGTACTGTGGTGAACACTTTTAAAATAAATTTGGACAAAGGGTGGAGAATATTGCTCAGTGGTAGAGTGCATGTCTAGCAGGTGTAAGTTCCTGGGTTCAATCCCCAGTACCTCCATTAAAAAAATAAAGAAACAAACAACCTCCCTGTGAGGCAGGAGGGAAGGGGACAGGGCACAGCAATTCAAGGGGCAGTGAACACCTAAGTGGTGGAAGATTCAACCCCCATTTGGCCTTCAAGCTCAAGATGGTGGGAGATTTGACTTCTAGTAGACCTGGAGCTTCATTACTGACTCATTGTAATGATTTATCCTGATCAGTGATGCCCACAGGCACCATGACGGTTTCAACCACAAAAGGTCAAAGAGTGGGTGGTGGCCCAGTTCCTGGGTAGTTGGAATGGTCCTCCCACTTATTGGCATGTGAAGCTACTCAGGCCGTAAAAACTGGCAACACTACCTTGTGGCCACCTCTCTCTCCCTCATCTTCAGGACTGTGGGCAGTTTATGGAGTACATATCTACTTTTACTTTAACCTGAGCACCCAACCCTTACACCTCATGGTGTTTGTCTCCTGAAACAGCCTACACTCTATTTAGTATGTATCTCTCTAAATAAATTGATTCACTGAACTGTGGCTCGCTCTTGAATTCTTTCTTGCAAGAAGCCAATGACCCACACGCAGCTGGGTGTGTCCTGGGAACTCCACTGAGACCTGGGACACGGCCCTCCTCACATCTCACATTTGTTTTTTTTCCTTTATCACCCCCAACCAAAAAAATATTTTAAGATAAATTTTGTTTTAATTTGTACAATCATAAAATATCCTTAAAACGTGTTCGTCATCTTGATGTATCTCTTGAAAAATAGTGAAATGACTGGTAGTATTTTAGTAGGAAGTGGATTCATAGCCAAGGGAAAACATCTATATTGTGAGTTTTGTTTGTTTGTTTAGACACTGTCTTTCTCCCTCCAACTGCTATTTGTAAAAAAGAAAAGTAAACCCCACGTAGACTGAGTGGCTTAAAAACAACAGACAATTATGCCTCACAGTTCTGGAGCCTGGAAGTCCAAGATCAGGATGCTAGCATGGTTCAGTTTGGGGGAGAGCCCTCTCTGGCGGAAGACTGCCAACTTCAGCCGTATCCTCACAGGATGGAAGGGCGGTGCTCGCTCTCCCGCAGCCTCTTTAACAAGGGCACTAATCCCAGTCCTGAGGAATTTATTCTCTGGCCCAGTCACCTCCCAGTAGCCCCACCTCCTAATACCATCCTCTTCAGGTCAGGTCTCCAACATGTGGATGTCGGGGGGACACAGACCTTCAGACTGTAGCTACCCTGACTGTCCTTGAGAATTTGCTGGTTCTTATGGGTGGATATCTCCCTATGTGATCTTGTAGATTTTTATTATCATCAATGAGAGAGATGTCACAGTTATACTTGATGATTACTTCTGACACATCCATTAATTTACTAGTACAACGATTTAGTGCCAAGAAGTTTAATGTAACTATATGCAAATAACACAGTTTCCAATTTTCTAGCGTGTATTATGGTTCATGCCTGTCCAAAACAAAGTAAGATTTGGGGAAAATAAAATGCCGTATCTTTCATGTGGTTATCTGCCTGGATTTTTATGCAAATTATCATCATCATCATCACCATCACCATCAAGCTCCTGTCTCAGTGGAGAAGAGAGGGAGCAGCTGGTGCATCAGCCAGGAGCCACAGGGCATGAGGTTAGGTGCAGCTGTCCTGTGGGGTTATATAGGGGATAGGCCAACCCACGGTAAGTTCTTAAATGCCAGCAAACTTTAGGATCTCTTTATTTCTCTTTCTGAATGTGTTAGAACACTTTAAAGGAAGTCTTTCTCTTTATATCAACCACGCACTAGTTAGGAGGTGTGGATGCAGGAGGAAGCAGCTACCCCGAATCTACCATGGTTCTGAGAAGCAGAGGGTGATGGGGGAGGAGAGGAGTTGTGTGCAGGAGCAGTATGGCCATCCCAGCTCCTTGTGAAGGCCCCTATGCGCATTTGTTTGGATGCCACATGGGGTTAAGGGCCTACGGACGCCCAGGATTACCAGCCTAGGCTGGACTGCAGTTTTGTGGGGAGGTGGGGGGAGTGCTGAGGGTCACAGTGGTCAGTGAGTTGGGCTCTGTGAAGCCTGGCTGGAAAGAGGTTCATTATCAATTCCTGCCTTTAGCAACCTGCTGTGCCCATGCAGGGACTCTCAGCCAGGGAGGGGTTCCTTACACGACCTGAGGGGCCCAGAGAGGAGCCGGCAGAGGGGACACCACCAGGTGCCCGCAGCTCACCCAGCCAGGACCACAGGCACATGAGCATGCGCACTGGACCAAGGTAGCGCTTACCAACGGAGCTGATTTTAACCTGCTGTTCTTTCATTTTTTCATTGCCTCACGTCCAGGTGTCCACATATGCCCTCCAGTTTCTCTCTTTACTTATTCCTTCTGTCTTGTTTGTAAATGGAAACGTGATTTTTAAAATAAATATGAGTGTTAGGATTGTAAAATTCTCATGCGGACTGTAGCGTATAGAAATACATTGGGTCGGAGGAAGGTTTGACATCCATGGGTAAAACGCCCTCCTTGGGGCATCACCAAGAACGTTGCGGGGATAGTGGAAAGAACAGATGTGCGCTGGGGCCCAAGGGACTTGTGTTCCAGAGCTGGTTCCCTGTGAATTTACTTTGAGATCTTGGGCACAAAGGGATTAGTTTTCTCTTGAGAGATATATATTAATACTAATCTTTTATAGCTTTCATGTATGGTGAAATCATGTGCGTGAAAACACTTTGTAGGTTAAATCCCAAAAGAACATGATACAGAAACAAAAAAATCTAAGAAGAAACTTTTCATAATAATAAAACAAATAAATTTCATACTCATAAACACATACATTTCACACTTATTATTCATAATAAAGATTCCACATTATTCTGTGTATACATAGAGTTGGGAGCTATTGATAATATAAGATAAGACATGATTAGTTGTCAAATACATTTCCAAAGTACAATTAAAGTTGTGTTTGTTCCCTAAAATATTGCTACTTTCTAATCCTTAGATTTACAAATATGCAAAATGACTCATAGGTAAGTGTGGAACACACAATTTTATTTTTGTTTTTAAAATATAATTTAATATTACATAGGTAATACTAGATAGATCATAAAACAAAATAATACAAGATTGATCATAAACTAGAAAACTGCAGCTGTAGAAAGAACACTATAAAATAATCACATTTATTGCTTAATATTTTATGATGAAAACTATCTCATGAGGTATGAAGGATAATTATCATTAACAGCCTTTTGTTTGAAGAGGAAAGTAATCTACTGAGAGATAAATGATTTCTAAGGGCAAAATGTGGCCAATCAGAAATCAGAACCGAAACTTATTCTTTCTTACTGTCCTATAGGAAGAATTTCCTTAACCAGATGCAGGGTCAAAAAGCTATCCAACTTCTCAAAAATGGTATATTTGTGTAGATAAACATTCATATTGACTTCGTCTCCTCTCACCTTTTGTTTTACCTCTTCAAGCATAAAATGCCTTGATCATGTGCTAATGCAGGGTTGGTTTTTTTTTCACATTTGCATGCCCTGCTGCCTAGATCAGCTGCCATTTTACCAAAAGAGTTTCATATTTGGCTTATTTGAGAGCTGTTGTTGACCAGGATGAGTTTTTCAAGCAGAAGATTTCAAACAATGCACACTTTCTTACATAGTCTTGTACAATATTCAGTGCCTGGCTGGGCAGATGCCACTACACCCTATGGATTTAATTCCCTAGAAAAGGATTCCTGTACTTTCTTGGGGAAGACAAAGTCAGACTATGACCTAATATTCTTTTGTTTATTTGTATGTTTGTTTGCCCTGAGAGCAGAGCCCTCATCTGATAGTGGCAATATTTGCCTTTTCTTATACAACAGGTTTTGTGCTTGCCTCTTCCACTAATAAAATATTTTGAGATTTTTGTAAGTTTGTCTTTTACTTCTTTTCTTTTTTAATAAAGCAGTTGTCTCCCAAAATGACATAGTGTTTTAATTATTATTGGGAGTCTTAATTATTTTTATACCTTACATTCAGTCTCACTCTTTGTCCAGTTCTTGTTTATTTTATATTTTTTTTCACTGTTTATAATTCTCAGATATCATTAAGTTTAGGCATTCTGACTCCTCTGAAAATAGTATTAAATTGTATATATCAATTGATTTACTACATCTTTCCTTCCACATGCTGAAGAAATATTTCTGGGAGACACTGAAGAGAACTGCTCATCACTCCTCGAAAATTACACACCGCTAAAAATAGACACCCCAATCCCAGAGAACAAAAGACAAAGGTGGGGTATAACCAACCAACCAACCTAATTATTCCCCCCACCCAAAACCGAACAAAAACAAAAAGAAAAAACTCCTTACTTAAAAAAAAAACAAAACACACAGACAAGGGCAGTCACTCTGTGACTCAGTTCTGCAGGTTTCTGGAAAGGAGCAACTGCAAGTAGGAAGGCTCAGTTCTAACCTGTTCCACAACTGGGCTCCAGTAGGTAGAGAAATTCTTCATGAAACCCAGTGGTTCTTTCTCGTGCAAAAGAAAATAACTCTCTCAGTGGGTCCCTTTGTAGGTGCTTTCACACAGAGACAGATCCGGATGGGGTCTGTTATCAGAGTTACTCAGACTCAGGCCTACGGCATGAAACTGATTTCTGGAGAGCTCGGCACTCCTGCAGAGGCACCATGGGCTCAGGGGCCGCCGTCTGGGGCCTGTGTTTTCCTCTTTAACACTCCAAACAGCAATTTTCGCAAGTCTTAAAGAGGAAACTGGAGGGGACGAGGAGCTCGCAGGCTCCGACGACCGAAAGCATTCCACTGGGTGACAGCACGCCCTGCATTCGCTCTCGGGTTTCCACTGCGGCAGTTTAGCCTCTTTCCGGAACGGGGAGTCCCCAGCTGCGCGGAAAGGGGGCGCATTCCGTGGCCCCATTTTCCTCCTCGCCCTGCAGCCCTGCCCTGGAACCTCCGCCCGCTCACGCGGCCCCTCCTCGCCCCGCGCGCTCCCAGCCTGCAGCGCCGCGCCTGGTAAGGGGAACTCGGCGGGGGTTTGGGGACCCTGGAGCCCGCCTTTGAGTCACAGCTACTGATTTCTGGTGTGATTCACATCGGTGACCGTACTTCTGTGTGTCTCATTAGTGAAACGAGGAGCTGATGGGGAGTTATGGGCAACAGCAGATTTGGAGTGGGACGGAAACAGGTTTGGGGACCCTTCACCCCACTTCCAGCGCCCATCGCATCCCACAGCGCTGCAGTCTTTTCCGCCTAACTGCCTACTTCTTAGCGCTTTTAATCTTCATGAGCTTCACAGCGTTTCATAAAGCTTCATTAATAATTCATCATCTCATTTGACAGATAAGGAAACTGAAACCCTGAAGGCGCCCTAAGTGGGGCACAATTTTCAATTTTACCCTCTTAACTTCTCCTATAGCGCCCCCACCCCTATCCCTGACAAGCGCCACATTCCAGAGAGTCCGGTGCGGGGAATGGGTTCCTAGGGCCCCGTAGAGTAAATACAGGATCATTATCCTGTATTTACTACACTGAGCCACGTGTTCCAAACGAGACCTCTCAGTGGACATCGTATATGACCCTGAGCTTTTGAACACCACTTCATCCTTCCCCAGATACCCACAATTTTCCTGACACAATGTAAGATTCGACACTATAGCAAACAGACTCATGTTTAGGATGTATAGGAACCAATCCTTTGTTTGCTAAATCTTCTGTGAGAGTCATGTTTTGAAATCCCAGTGCTAAACTACAAAATAATACCAGGAAACAGGGACTGGGTCAGGTAAGTGAAAGAGATACTTATGAACAAGGCAACAAAAAATTATCATCTTTCCTAAAACAGCATGAGAGAGCCTGCTTTCTCATGGTTTGATAAAATAAGGTGTCATCATGACAAAATCGTATAATTTAAAAATCAGAATATCCATTATGTTCATTTGCTTCGACCTCTTTCCTAAGCTAGATCCTCCTGCTCCTCCTGTCACATACAGTTATAATCTCTGCTCACATACTGCCTGCCACTCTCTCATGACTCCTGGTCCCATTTGGGGGAAGTTTAGTAGGATTTTCCTTGTGGAGAAGAGATCTACCTCTGTTCTTTATGCTTCCTTTTGTGTCTACAATGAGATTGGTACATATCACGTTCCTTCAAGGTTACCATGCTTCCAGTCTTTTCCTACACTTTGTTCAGCCCTTTTAATATTTTGTCCGTGACTCATTTTAACATCTCCATCAATATCCTTTCTGACTCGTCTCCAGACACTCTGTTAATATCTGCCAAAAAAAATCTATTTCTCAGTGGAATATGTCTCCCCCAGGAGCCTGACCCACTTGGAAGATAGTTCAGAGTACCACTGTGCCACACCTCTGCCAATGTAACCTGAATTTGATTGGCTTTTGGGACAGCCACATAGCTCCATTTGGGTCACACTGATAATCAAGTCATAAAAACACCAGGTTGTTTTAAACTGAAATACTTCAGTTCAGAGCAACTCCTGCCCCTGCCATTTTACCTTTGAATAAGCTTTTTTTTTTTTGGAAAAATATACACTCAAGATTTTGCAATACAATGGATGGCGTTGGTTTGGGGGCAGGCTTCCAGCCTGTTTGCATCAGTTTATGTCCAGACCATGGATGACAACATTGGATGTGGTGTTCCAAGAGGCTTATTATCTACTTTGGAATACTTCCCCCCTGTGGAATCTAGGAGAATACACAGGCAAAATGAGCCATTTTCATTCAGTCTTAGCTCTGTGGTAATTGTGTGATCTTGAGCAGGTCAGTTAATGCTCAGTTTCTTAATATTTTAATAGAAAACTTAATACCTATCTTGATTGCATCATAGGGGATTTAGAACAATGAAAATAATGGGCATGAAAGAAACTTGAAAATTATAAATGGCTGCACAGAGGATTTTTATCATGGTGAAATTCATCATTGACATTGTCACCACTGTCATCATCATCTCAACCACAGCAATATATTGATTCCAACATATTTGTGGGAAGGAAAAGAAAAGGAAAGAAAGAAGTTGTCTTAATATATTCTGATGATGTGAAAAGGGATGGTTTTCCCTAATGAGGACCATTTCCACTCATTCCTACTGAATGAATAGAAAAATGTGAAAAAGGTAGAAATAACAGAATCAACCTGAATAGCAAATCATGAAAACCATTTGAATTCAATGGTAATCAGTAAAATGCAAGTTTACAACAGCTAAGACATCCTAAATTATGCCCATAAGGGTGACAAAAAAATTGAAAATGTAATATCACCAAGTATAAGTGACAATTTGGGGAATTCTCACACATGGCTGGTGTGAATTAGCACAACATCTTGGAGTCATATTTAGCAATATCTAGTCAGGTGGAAATTGTATGTCCCAGCTAAATTGTTGCACATGTGCACAAGATGTGTATGGGAATTCCTCCCCAGCATTGTTTGTAGTAGCAAGTTCCATATTTGGAACACCAAATGTCTGTTTAAAAAGAATTGGATAAATGTTACTATCTACAGACACATGTGTAGGTGGAAGTGTAAATACACAAATGAGAGTGATACATACAACCTCAGATTTTGGCTGTCTCTGTAGGGAAGAGGGAGGGAAAATAAGACTGAGGGAGTCAAAAAATAAATAAATGGAACTACTATATGTGTAATGTTTAAACTTTTTCAATCAAACAGGATATCAGCAGTAAAAATGCCAAAACACTTACATTTGTTCATTGCAAATGATGGATATTTGTTTCATTACTCTGTGTATTTCTCCACTTACAAAGTTTGTTTCGTAACTGCATAATCTTTAAAACTGAATAAATAAAATACAGTCTCAGAGTTCATCTTAAGCAGTGTTGCACATTGAATGCTGGCCTTTTCTAACATACCAAGAATGATATAATACTATGCCTCATCTGAATGAAACTTTTATCCCCATGGTTTTGCCAATTTCTGGTTATATCTGGTGGAATTTTAAAATAATGGTGATTATAGGGAGACCCATCGTTGTTTATTATTGGAGGAAATTGGAGGATAATTGGAGGAAAGCTATTTGATTAAAAACCGAGCAGGGAATGAATTTATCTTGAACTTGTCCTGAATGGTGATTTTTTTCCCCTTATTCACAGCACCACCTTCTCTCCACCAGCTGCTCAGGGCAGAGGAAGGAAGGTGGCCGTGCTTGGCCCTCTGTTGCTGCTTCCTCTCGTGTCAGTCCGCCCAGGAGCCCTTGATTCCCGATTCCACACTCCCAGTGGACGGTACATTGTACTCTCCTCTTTGCCACTGGACTGTCTATCTGATACAAAGGGTTTCAGAAAATGCCCAGTATTTCAAACAAACCAATGTCATTTATAGCCAGGCAATTTTATTCTCCATTTTAGCAAGTATGCCTACTTTGAATCAAAAAAAAAAGTCCCACTTCTCATTCTATAGAAGAACGCTTTCTTTCTTTCATGCTTTTTCAAGTTGAAGGGAGATAATCAACCGATTTGAGTTTTTTTCCTTCATTTTTCTTTTTTTTATTGAAGTATAGTCAGTTTACAAAGTTGTGTTAAGCACTATTTACAATAGCCAAGACATGAAATAATCTAAATGTCCATCAACAGATGACTGGATAAAGAAGTTGTGGTGTATTTATAGAATGGAATACTACTCAACCACAAAAAATAATAAAATAATGCCATTTGCAGCAACATGAATAGACCTGGAGATCGTCATACTAAATGAAGTAAGCCAGAAAGAGAAAGAAAAATACTATGTGATATCACTTATATATGGAATCTAAAAAAAAGGCAAATGAACTTCTGTTTACAGAACAGAAACAGGCTCACATACATAGAAAACAAACTTATGGTTACCAGTGGGGGAAAGAGGTGGGAAGGGATAAAGTGGGAATTTCAAGATTTGCAGATACTAACTACTATGTATAAAACAGATAAACAACAAGTTTCTACTGTATAGCCCAGGGAACTATACTCAATATCTTGTAGTAACTGATAATGAAAAAGAATGTGAAAACAAATATATATGTATGTATAGGTATGACTGAACTATTATGCTGTACACCAGAAATTGACACAACATTGTGAACTGACTAGACTTCAATTAAAAAAAAAGTTGTGTTAATTTCTGTTGTATAGCATAGTGATTCAGTTATACACAGATATATGTGTATATGTGTGTATATATATTTCTTTTCATATTTTTTATTAAAGACTATTGCAAGATATTGAATATAGTTCCCTGTGCTATATAGTAGGACCTTATTGTTTATCTATTTTATATTTAATAGTTAGTGTCTGCAAATCCTGAACTTCCAACTTATCCCTTCACTCCCTTCCCTTTCCTCCTGGTAACCATAAGTTTGTTTTCTATGTCTGTGAGTCTATTTCTGTTTTGTAAATGAGTTCATTAGTGTCTTTTTTTTTAGATTCCACATATAAGTAGTTTTCTTTCTCTGTCTGACTTATATCACTTAGTATAACAGTCTCCAGGTCCATCCATTTTGCTGCAGATGGCATTATTTTATTTTTTATGGCTGAGTAGTATTCCATTGTATGTATTATTTATTATATATTAACATATAATATATAAATAATAACTTCTTTATCCAATTGTCTGTCAGTAGACATTTATGTTGCTTTCAATAATCAACTGATTTGTTTTAAAATATTTCTTGCTTTCCTGGAGGATGAGAAAAAAGCAACATTTCATTGTGTTAACATAACCTAGCATCACCTGGCTTGCTTAAATTTATGTACAAATGTTTGAGAGTAAAATAGGAGATAGAAATTAGCAATAGAAATGGCTCATCTCAGGATAACTATTCTTGGGTGTCTGAATTAGAGGTGTTCTCAGGCCTTACCACCTCCCATATGGACACTTGGTTTTTATTCCTTTCCTTCTTTGTGTTCCAGAAGAGAATGGAAGGGCTTCAGAGAAGCACATACGGAACTATGGCTGAAGGTAAGAAAGCCTCCAAATTCTCAAGAGCTCTAGACACCAGAGAAGAGTAAATATTTTCTCTCTATCTACCCCTCACCTCAAACATGGTGACAGAGAAGAAACCTACTAATTTTAAACAGCAGAAGAAAAAGGCAGCTATGGTCTGTTCTTTATCCTCCGATCATCATCACACTCCAGCCACCCCAGAATGTGATGCTCTCCCCTGTGCACGATGTGTGGGAAATGAGGAAATGTAACTTCGAGTTAGAGGTTAGGGGATTTGGAACCGAATTGTGAAAACGATATCTTTCCTCTTAGCTGAAAAGAGGAAAAGTTCCCCATAGAGATTTAGTAATCATGTTTGCTAAAACAAAACAAACAAACAAACAAAAACTGGAATACTTAAGGAAAGGAAGACCCAACACAGAGTAAAAGGAATAAAATAAGAGAGTTTAGGAGCCTAAAATGCACTTAATTCATTTGAGCTTCTAAGAACCTTAGAAATCCTTGGATTCTCATTCTCCTCTTCATCCCTTGAAGATTTTAACTCTTGGTTCAGTATCACCCCCTCCAACACCACTTTCGTTGTAACTTCCTGTAATTCTATCAGCCAAATAGATGATCTTTCCAACACATGTATTTCTAATGGTCTTATTATCTCTTTAGCCACTCATCCATGGTCATCTGTCACACTTGCTCCTTGACATTAACTGCAACCATTTTGTGGTCTCACTTTCAAACCTCCAGCTCCCTACCCGAAGAGTGGAAACCCGGGGGCATTTGGCTGGTCCTTGCGGAGAGGTCACTGCAGCTCTGACATCTGACTTCCTTTATCCTCAAGGTTTAGATGAGTGTGATGAGCAGTCTCAAGTGTACCTGGGAATTTCTGGGTGAAAAAGAGACGATAAGATGGTCTCCTCTGTGACTTCACATCATCCACCTCTTTCTAATCTCACATTTACTTAGCAAGATACTGGCCTAAGCACCCTTCCTGGAAAAGCACAGGGATCACTTTTCTTTCACAAAAGCTGTATTTGTCCTGATCTAGATGAAGTGCTTGGAGCATCCTTCTTAGTGAAGCAGCTCTTACTTCACTGTGGGCCCAAGCTCAGGCTCCCAATTTGTGGGCTTCCTACCATTCAAAAGTCACCTAAAATTGTCTGCAAACTTTTGTGTGTATTCAATTAAAAATTTTGTTAGTTTGTTTTGGGGGAGAGATAAGTAGATCTATTTATTTACTTACTTATTTTAATGGCAGTACTGGGGATTGAACCCAGGATCTCATGCATGCTAAGCATGCACTCCACCACTGAGCTATACCCTCCCACATCACGTGTATATTTAAATATCACTATTTTGGGGGGACAGAGGCCCATAGCTTTCATGAGATACCATTAGGGATCCATGACCTAAAAATCTTAAGAATCGCTAACTTAGTAACACACACACAATTTTTTTATAGGCGGAGTAGAAAATAAGTGGTTATCAAAAGTGTTCTCTTTGAGGATCATCCTGGTGGGCAGAACAGGCAGCGGGAAAAGTGCCACAGGGAACAGCATCCTCTGCCAACAAGTGTTTAAGTCCAGGCTGGGGGCCCAGACACTGACTAGGACATGCCAGAAGGCAATGGGCACATGGAACGGGAGGAACATCCTGGTGGTGGACACGCCCTCCATCTTTGAGGCAAAGGCCCAGGACCAGGAGACGTACGAGCACATCGGGGACTGCTACCTGCTCTCGGCCCCCGGGCCCCACGTGCTGCTGCTGGTGACCCAGCTGGGGCGCTTCACTGAGCAGGACACGGTGGCCGTGACCAAGGTGAAGGAGGTCTTTGGGGCAGGAGTCATGAGACACATGGTCATCCTCTTCACCCACAAGGAGGACTTGGTGGGCGAATCCTTGGATGACTATGTAGCAAACTCAGACAACCTCCAGCTGAAGAGCCTGGTCCAGGAGTGTGGGAGGAGGTACTGTGCCTTCAACAACCGGGCCACTGGGGAGGAGCAGAGGGAGCAGCTGCTGGAGCTGATGGTCGTGATCGAGAGGCTGGAGAGGGAGCTCGACGGTGCCTTCTACACCAACGACCTCTTCTTTGATGCACAGATTCTCCAGCAAGGGGGGGATGATGCACGTGGAGAAGGCCACAGGCTCTACCTGGACAAGGTGCAGTCACAGGTTGTAAAGCAAAAGCAAGATCTGGACCTGGAAGGGGTCCAGAAAAACTGTGTGTTCAAGGCACTCCTCTGTGTCAAAAACTGGATTATTTCTAACAGCGGAGTATTCGCTGTTCTTATTATATGCATTTTGATTTTTCTTGCCATGTTAATTAGCTTGTATATTCTTCATAAACACTGAGCATTTTCAGATGATACCTTCAATCAACTTCTATTTTTTCAGAGTCAAGGTTGTTGATAAGGAACTTTGCTTTTTAACATAATTTCACTTTTAATCTCCCTTCCTTACTTCAGACACACCACCCATTTTCTTCAGGTGCCTTTAAGTAAATAAAATCCAAAGGATAATATCAAAAAAACAAGCAACCCAATCCAAAAATGAGTAGAAGACCTAAACAAGCAATTCTCCGATGAAAACATACAAATGGCCAATAGGCACATGAAAAACTGCTCAGCATCACTAATTGCCAGAGAAATGCAGATCAAAACTGCAATGAAATATCACTTCACACCAGCCAGAGTGGCCATCATTAAAAGGTCTATAAGTGATAAATGCTGGAGAGGGTGTGGAGAAAGGGGAACCTTTCTACACTGTTGGTGGGAATGTAAACAGGAGTAGCCACTGTGGAGGTCAGTATGGAGGTTCCATAAAAAACTGAAAATAGACTTACCATGTGGCCCAGCAATCCCACTCCTGGGCATATATCTGGAGAAAAATATCATTCAAAAACATATATATATCCTAATGTTCATAGCAGCACTATTTACAATAGCCAAGACATGAAAGCAACCCAAGTGTCCATCAGCAGATGACTGGATAAAGAAGATGTGGTACATATATGCAATGGAATACTACTCAGCCATAAAAAAGAATAAAATAATGCCACTTGCAGCAACATGGATGGACCAGGAGATCATTCTAAGTAAGCCAGAAAGAGAAAAATGCCATATGATAGCACTTATATGTAGAATCTTTAAAGAAAAAAAAAAGGACACAAATGAACTACTTGTTATTTATAACTTAGAAGATTGATTTCTTGAATATGTGCAAGCACATTTGACTGTCCTTTATGATTGGATTACTGCATTCTGTTGATTCTTATTTTGTGGTTGGCTTTATTCCTTCGATAAATATGTAAAGTTTAAAAAGCTAAAGCTCTAAACTGTTCTTAGAAACAATGAATGGTACATGTATGTAAATTTTTTAGTGTGTAGTATATTGTATATATGTATTTACAAGCAATATATTGTATATGTGCAGTCAAATTGTAACAATTCTACCTAATAAAACTGAAAAAAGTTTTAAACAAAATTTTTTAAAAAAGGAAAAAAAATCCAGATGAAAATAATTCCCCTTTTTGTTTTGTTAAAAATTGTGAGGGTAAGTAATAAACTAACTGGACACTGTCATGAAATATTTAGGAGCTCGCAAAAAGGAAGGTAAGTGGACTGTCTCACCTCTGGGACCCACTTTTTCCAGTCGTGCTATAGAGGAGGAAATGTGTTATATTGACAGCTGATAGCAGAATTCCTTATTTTATTCAGAAACATAGTCTGACCTCCTTGGAGGTCGTAAAAGACAACACCACATGAGAGAGAAAGATGAGGACATTCTGGGGGGGGGGACACTCTGGAGTGTGAAGAGACTGAGGAAGAAGAGAGGAGGTGCCTGGAGGTGAGGGAGAAGGAGATAAGAGGGGTCTCCGGGGCCAGATGGGGTCCACGCCTGAGGGAAAGCATAGTCAGTGGCTGGGGATTAAAGGACTGAAATTTCTTGGAGCAGGGCTCGGCAAGGGCCAGATGACGAGGGCAGTGTTTTGGGCTTGGGATTAAGACTGTGTGGGCTCTGTCCCAGCTACTCAACTCTCCCCTCCAAGTGCAAAAGCCACCGTGGACAGGACGGAAGTGAGGAGCAGGCTGCACCCCATACGACTCTATGAGCCCCAAGATTCGAATTTCATGTACATTTCATATGTGGCGATGAAACATTATGCTTCTTTTGATTTCTTCACCCTTTAAAAAATGTGAAAGCCCTTTCTTAACTCCCACGTTATACAAAACAGGTGGCAGGCTGGATTGGGTCTGCAGGGTGTGGTTAGCCAACCCCCGGTCTTAGAGGAAATTTCCATGGTGGGTTGAGCTGTGAGGTAGTGGAACATCTTAAACCCTAGCGTCAGCCCAAGCATGTGTAATATCTGAGGAAAGGATGTCATTCCACATGTCAGCAGTAGTAAAGAGAACAAGGTGTTATGGTAAAAATCAGGTCACAAAGTCAGTGGAAACAGGAAATCAGATAAGGAGGGCCCAGGTGGGCCCACCTCCTTCTGAGGAGCTGCCCCCACTTCCCTGCTGCTTCGTACCTGTAAGGGAGACCCACGGTCATCCCAGGCAGCCTGTGACTGGATGGGTAAGTGATTCACTCTGGAGTGAGTCTCAGGAACTTGATTGTGACACCCCAGTGTCATTCCCCAAACCTCCATTGGGAGTACAGGTGCACGTTGAGGTCCAGAGTGCTGTCATATAAGCGATTCTAAACTTGTGCATGAAGTGTTATGACAAGAAGGACTTAGAGTATAGCACAGGAAACTCTATCCAGCTTCTCGTAATAAGCTACAATGGAAAAGAATCAGAAAATATATAGATAGATATGTATGTATGTGTATAACTGAATTGCTTTGCTGTACAAATGAAACTAACATTGTAAGTCAACTACACTTCAATAAAAAATAAAATTAAAAAAAAAAGAAGTGTTATGTTTGAGCTCCTCAATCCCGTGAAACCCCAAGGAACTCTGAGTTCTCAGACCGAGGGCCACCTCCTCGATGCCGTATTCCCAAGCTGTGTGACCTAACCTGGTCTCTCCCTTCCTTGACTTAACCCAGTCCCGATCCACACACACTTATTGTGAGTACTGAGGGCCAAGGTCTATGCTCAGAACCAGGAATAGAAGAGAAAAGACGCAAGGTTCCTGCTCCACAAATGCGGCTGTGCTGTAGACGGATGAAGGCATAGGAAAGTAGGTGCGAGAGAAATTTGTCTGGCAGGGGGTGGCGGGGAGGGGGGTCCACCAGAAGGAGAGAGAGGGCTCAGCGGCAGAGGCACCTAACCAGGGTGGGGCTGGAGCTGTCAGGTGCGGCGCTGGCCCTCGAGGGAGCCACTTCAGGCAGAGGGAGCCCACGGTCAAGGAGGGGAGTGAGAATCCTGGGAGTAAAGGTGCAGGGAGAGCCGGGGCTGGGCGGGGCCCTGGGCAGCACCCTCAGGGTTGAGGGCTTTCTTGTAAAGAACAGGAAGTCCCTGGAGACTGTTAGGCAGATTAGTAATTTTAGGGAGATCACGCTGTAGCAATGCGGCACTGGGACAAAATACATGTAAGCCTGGAACAAGGGATAACGTTTAGAAGAAAAGAATTCCACCGGTCATCAGGGTCTGAGCCACAACCCAAGGAATGGGGATGGGAGGGCGGGAGGCGGGCAGGATGCATCCTGGAGACGCGGAGGAGGTGGAACCAGCACAGTGCGGTCACTAACAGCAAGGTCGGGAGGGAGCCAGGTTTCTATCTTAGTCGCCCTGCAGCAGTGTCTCCTGTCACTGCCCGGGGCCCTTTGAGGGAGAATGGGTTACACAGAAGAAGGCAAAGACTTTGCATCTGGATGTGCGACCCTGAAGGTTTCTGGGGCTGGGCCCTCTCATCCTCTCTCCAGGGAAGGCATCTGGACCAGGCAGAAGAGAGTGTTAGAGAGCAGGGCTGCAGGATGAGGGCCGCCCTCTGAGTCTGCAGCTGGGCCATTTCCAGGCCTCCCAGCACCGAGGAAGCGTCTCTTTCCCCTCCAGCAGCGTTGTCCCATCCTCCAAGTGATGCTCCACCTTTGCCGGTTTCCAAGGGGAATAAAGCTGGAGGGTTAACCCAGGATATTTTGCAATAGGAAAGGAGAAAGGGTTTTGCTAAATCTTTACAAACACATGAATGTTCGCCAAAGTAATTCCTTAGAAAGTATTCAGATATGAGCTCTCTTTCTCCCTCAACTGGCAAAGGGAACCCAGAGAAGACCCGCCTAGGGGCTGGCCCATTTCCTCCCTCACCCTGCCCACCACCACCATCATTCTTCAAAATAATCCAACTATGGGGATTTTTCTCGTTCTTCAGAATTCAGTGAATGTCTACTCTGTAGCAGAAACTGTAACAGTAGAGAGAGTCCTTCCTAATTCTAAAAACGAGAAATGAAAAATCATTTTATTTATTCTTGATGCCACTTCCTCACTGGAAGCATGAGAACAGGGAAGTTCTGACAGATTTAAGGATTTTTTTTTCCAAAAAGGGATATGGGGAACTCTTTATTAGTTCAATTTTTTTCAAATGTAAATAAGAGAGACCCCAAATTCCAACAGCTTAAGCCATAAGGAAACTTACTGGCTGACATTACTGGAAATCCAAAGATAGGGTAAGATTCAGGACTGGTTGATTCAAGGGCTTAGACTGCTCCATCACTCTGCCCTGCTTTGAAGTGTTGCCTTCAAGCTCAGGCTGGTAGCTGCTGGAGTTCCAGTCATCACGCCCAGATCCAACAATGACCAGAGGGAGACTGTCTGTCTATGGGGATCTCTCCTGGGAAAGGAGAAACCTTCTGGCCCCACCTCTGCAGACTTTTACTCACTTCCCAGTGGCCTAAATTGGGTCTCAGGACCATGCCGGAGCTAATCACTCCACAGAAAATGGGATTGTACGTAGACCAGCCAGGCGTCCCTGGAACTGAGTCATTGTCATCTTCTTCAGGGGTTCATGGCTTCACTGAGGGAGAGGGAGAGGCGTGAACCAAGCCAGAAGTCTATGAGGGGAACGCGGAATGAGAGCTGCAGAGACAACACACCATGTCCTCAGCAGATCGTGGGAATTTACTTCCGGATTGGACAATGAATCCCTGAGGTGATACTTTAGAAAATGCTCTGACATACAGATGACACACACAAGATGGTACAAGATGATACAAGATGATCAGCAGAATAAGAACAAAAAGTAAACTGCACCAAACAAGGCAAACACAAAGCTCATAATGCAACATGACCCAGTTTTTGACCCGGAGGAGTGCCTTGAACACACAGTTTCTCTGGGCCCCTTTCAGA